TATATATAAAGCAAATTAGTGGTGGCTTGGGACTGGTTATGGGAATAAAGTGAAATGGGCACTATCTTTTTAACATGATACAAATGTTCTATAACTGGGTTGTAGGAAAAGTGGCAAACTCAAAATCTAAAAATTCCAAAATGCTGCTGGGTGTGGTGGTGCCGCAGCTGTAACCCCAGCTGAGAAGGATCACCAGGAGTTCAGGGCCAGCTTGTGCTACACAGTAAATTGAAGGCCAGCCTAGAATATACAGCAAGACCCTGCCTCAAAAAGAAGCCTCCCCGCCATTCCAAAATGCATACTTAAAAGTGGATGTTATGGTATGTAAATTACATCTCAATAAGGCTGTTAGAAAAAAACTGGACCAAAGTACAGTATTACAAGCACTATAACATGGTGATCAGAACAGTGTCTGAGAAGTAAGTGGCTGTAAGAGTGCACATTTTTAAAATTAAGTGCCAAAAACTTAAAATGTAGCAGTACATAACTTCCTTATCAGTGGAGAGAACTGAGGAAGGGCACATTATTTTGAATAGTAAAGAAGGGAGAAAGGTAATGAACAAAAGCCTAAATAGAAGGCCCAAGGGAGGGCACAGAAGTCCCAACAGGAGTAATTATGATAAACTTGACAGGTACAGACACGGTCAGATAGGTTAAAAACTACTTACAATAATAGTATAATACTATTCTTACATACATGCATACATACACAGACAAGACAGACAGATCACATACAAAAGCCGGAAGCTGTTATATTAGTAAGCTACTTAACCAGCTACATGCTCTGCAAAATACACTGAGGTAAAAACTTTTGTCATAGGGACAAAGGTCACTATGAAGCCGCTTAATGAGGAACATAGCAATTCTAAATTTATGCACATGTATGCCTACACTCACATAAAGAAAAAATGTTTCTTTTCAATAAAATACTGTTATGCTGATTACTTCTCCTCTAACATTTACTATCCTCCATCTGCACATTCCTTTCTTTTATGCACAGACACACTGAAACTCCACCCCCAGTTCACCAAGTCAAAATGAGTTCTCTTACGTTAAGAATTTAAGAATCCAAACAGGTTTCAATTTCAGATTTTAAAAAGGTGAACTCATCATAAGTAAGCAAGATTAGACATACAGATCACACATTTCCTTACTAGCTAATTACTTGTTTAGAGGACAGACAATATAAACTTTTAAAAAAATGTGTTAAGTACTGATTATAGAGCAAAAGCTGCCTGGGTTTAACTCACTTAAGTTGTGTTGTTTAAAATGCTGTTTTGAGGCCGGGGAGGGGGCCTTCAGGGGTAGGGTGCTTGCCTAGCATGTGCAAGGCCCTGGGTTTGATTCCCAGCCTTGCAAAAAGTAAATAAAGTAAAGGTTAGGCCGGGGATTTAGCTCAGTAGTGCCGTTGCCTGGCTCGCAAGCAAAAGGTCCCAAGATCAATCCCCAGTACCAAAAATAAACTAAAGGTTACTTACTCTGTTTCCATATCTTTAAAATGGGATGGGGGGGGTGTGAAGATTAAGTGAGATAATTCACATAAAATATACAGTAAAATTTTTGACACATAATAAGTACTCAAAAAATATTATTTGTGATTCAATAGTTAAGGGAACTGCAAAAATTTTTCCTTAATGACATTTCTCTACAATAAAATTAAACAGCCAGGTGTGGTGGCACATGCCTGCAATCCTAGCACTCTGGGGGCTAAGGCAGGAGGACCATTTCGAGTTCAAGGCCAGCCTGATCTACACAGGGAGACCCTTCCTCAAAAAAGTAAATAAATACTGAGAAGACACTTTAAACTGTAACAATTTGATAATATTGGTTAAACAAAATAAATATTTATTGTACTTGAGGAATTCTAAGAGTGTACATGCCCTCAACTATAGAACACAGGGATACAGATTAGCTGGTTTCATGTGCAGAAGACAAATTCATAAATTAGATACTGAATTTTATAAATTTGGAAGTAATCCAATGAATGTAAAGTTCCTATAAATCTCATGTATAACCACCAATGTTTTAAAACTCAAATTTTAGCAAAATTAACACAACTATTTTGAAGTCCCTTAAGACACTATACTGCCCCAAATCATTACTGAAAAGAATCATCAATGAAAAGCCAATCTGCAAGTGTTTATATTAAAGCCATGTCCTCAATAAAGGAACAAAACAAACAGATTTAAAAACAGATTTTACTGTGCTTCGAAGAAATCATATAGTAATCATGCAGATGGTCCATCAATCCCACTGTGAGGAATCTACCCTGAAGATATACCTCCAATGATACAAAATTAGAGACAAAGTTAGTCACTCCATCATTAGATATAACTGCAAAATACAGGAAACACCATAAATGCCATACATAGGAAGTGGCTGAGTAAACAACATTCCATCTAAACAATGGAGTACTGTATCCCTGGAAAAAAGAATAATGAAGATTCCCATAAACTGATATAGAGAGTACAAGGGCATACTTTTGGGGAGAAAAAAAGCACAATGGCAAATGTTATCCTTCACATGAGAAAGGGATATACCAAATACACATGTATCTGCGATTTGTGCAAAAGAAATGACAACATTGCATGTATATAAAAAAGAGTTCAGAACTTGTTGAAAGAACTCAGGTGCTGACCCAAGAGTTCCTAATGGTCAAAGGCAGAATAATCTGAGCAATCTAACAATGATAGTATTAGATTTTAATTCACAGAAAAAAAAAATAAACATTTAGGAATCCACACTGATATAAATAATCAAATGAATCAGTAAGGAGGGGTAGTGGGTAGATGGAGGCACAGCTTATTATAAAAGAATTCCAAGTGATAAATGTAGAAATAAAGGCCAAAACAGAAAATCACCATCAGACAAAGACTACAGTGTTAACTGGTGCTGACAAGATTATCCAATGAAAATGAAAAGCATTACAGCTTTAAGTTTGAGGAGATAAAGATTGTATAGCCTCAAAGGATCTCCACCAAGATATTAACCCCAAAGGGAAAGACATTAACTTTAAGGTACAGATACCTGGCAGATAGCACTTGACAACGTGGCCAAAGTTAACATACTGAAATAAAGACTTCTTGAAATGACACCGTAGAAGGTACCTCTGATATGAACCATTCTATATGATTATTTTATGGTATTTGTGTCAAAAATACAAAACCTTATTCTAATTATATGAATACACCAAACAAAACTGAATTGAGGAATGGCCTCCAAAACATCCAAAGAGTACTCTTCAATATATCAAAAGTCATAGAAGAAAAAACTGAAGAACTGTCAGATTGAAGGAGACTAAGTAACAATAACAATAAATGCAAGGGGTCCTAGATAGTATTCTGGAACAGAAAAAGAATTATTAGCTAAAAAGCTGGTAAATTAAACTAAGAGTGATAGTTTTAGTTGGTTTTGATAACTACATAGGATACAGAATTAGGGAAAGCCAGATTGGGGCAGTGGGGGTGCTGTATGGAAAATACGTATGGTTTTGTGCCCCCTTTTTTGGTGTTTTGGGACAGGGTTTCCTTATGCATTGGTAGGTCAGGCTGGCCCTGAACTCACTACGTAGCCCAGGCTGCTCTCAAACTTGCATCAATCCTCTCAACTCAGGATCCCAAGTGGTGGATGTGCCATCATGCCAGGCCTGTGCGATATTTCTGCAGGACTAAAACCAGTTCAAAATAAAACATGAAAAAGTCTTGTCTACTACTCTGTTCTACAGTGGCTTCAAACAGCATTTAAGACCACCTTCATTTTGACCTAATGAAATTTGACTATAAAAAGAAAGTATAATTTCAAGTTAAAATTTAAAGCCTTGATGTAAGACAGAAGCTATGAAATAGGGCAACACTATTTCTTCTGGTCTTCAAATATGTTATCAAACACATTTTCTTTGCTTCTACTACCATATTTTTCTTTTTCTGTTTTGGTGGTACTAGAGATTAAATCCAGGGCCCTCACAATGAGCTACATGCCCAGCCCTTTTTATTTATTTGAAACAGGGTCTCACTAAGTTGTCAGGGCTGGGTTTAAATTTATGATCCTCCTGCCTCAGCCTCCCACAGTGTTTGGATTGCAGGTGTGCATCATCATACCCAGCGTTCTCCTACCATCCTTTTTCTAAGTGATTACCTATTTCAAGGAAGTTGAATAGAGTACATTAACAGCAGGCTCAAAATGAGGTTCAAGAACATGGAAACTTATTTAATGACAATACTCTGGAAATTATACTTCTCTAAAGAACATCATAATACTTCTATAATAAAGTTTGTTTCTGGGGGGAAATTTCATCACAGAAAGGCTCAGTTGAAAAGTAGCTGGGAAAGAGAGCTCCTTTGTATGTATATGATTTATACTCTTGGTTTAGACTGGGAGTGGGGTAAACTGACGAAGAAAACAGTTTTTAACTAAAAAATGTATTCACAGTCGGGCCGGAGATTTAGCTCAGTGGTTCTGGCACCTGCCTCGCAAGTGCAAGGTCCTGAGTTCAATCCCCTGTACCAAAAAAAAAGAAAAATGTATTCACAGTTGACCATAACTGACTAAAGAACAGCTCATCTACATTTTTAGGTGATCTTTCAAAATCAGTCCTGTGTTCTAAATTATCCATTAACTAATGGGGACTCAAGCTCACCCCCTTATCATTAAAATACATATTCATAAAACTTTCAGTTGTGCTGTTCTAGTTACAAATAGCTTCTACTTTTCTAGGACATAATTTCACTTTGTTTAAGCAAGAATTCATTAAAGAAGCTATAAATAACCTTTAAATATTTAGCCATGAATAGAGAGAGGGTGGACTGGCGTTGATGGCTTATTTTAGTACTAATGCAGAATGCTTTTTAAAAGCTCTATTTTAGCATGCATCACGCTAATGATTAATACTTGCAGTGTGATTTTCAATGTTAAACTAAATTTCATTTTAAGGAGTCTTACTACAAGTAAATGTTATTTTAGTTATTTACTAGTTAATATAAAGAATGAAAATGCTGAGAGGATTAAAACATTAAGAAATTTTTATTTTAAAATCTACTTTAGCATCTGAACAAATTTTCCTTCTGTCCCAGTGAAAACTGTACACACAAGGAGGAGAAGTGCCTATGGAATTTAAGAATTTAACAATCTGTTGTGAGGTATACGTAGCACATATATGATTCAAAGACATTTCTATGCTCAATTCTAAATCATAAAATTCACATTTTAGAGGCCAAGTTTCATAAAATTTTTACTTGAAAAAATGTTTTTACAAAATATTCTTCCAATCAAGGAGACTTTCCCACAGGGTACATGTAGCATTCTGCCTTAAAGATTACAGTATTACATCCAAAGGGGAGAGGTTTTTTTTAAATAGCCACCTAGCTGCAAAACCTAGAAGGGAAGTAGATTTTTTTTAAAGTGCTTTTAAAATGCGAAAGCAAGTAATATAATTGTTGAATCCACTGAAATTTTAAAAGTTTCTTTAAAATGGTCCATATGGTACACACAACATCACAGCTGCTACAAAACTGCTTGTATTTAGTTTGAAACACAAAAACAATGCACATGAACAGTATTCTTTGAAAAATAATTTGAAATGCTACCACTGCATCATAAGACCAACTTAGACAGTATTGAGAGAATTAACAAACAAGCTGAATATTAAAGTATTCAAACATTTACTTTGAATTTTTTTAGTACCACTGATAAGGATAAAAAAGTTGCTGCCAAACTAACTCAGGATGCCTTATTTCACACTACATGTCACATATTTTGTTACGTATATTCTAAAAATGCACAACTAGGTTTGAGGATGTAAACTCTCATTTCCTAGCTTTTCTGTTGCAATCTGGCAGCTTTGAACTTTGAAACCCTTTTTGCAGTTTCCTCTGCTGCTTCTGACAGAACTTCTTTTCTCTCTGGAATGGTGGGCAGAACAGGATGAGCAATGGCTGGGTGTGGTGTTAAAGAGGATGATAAAAATTCTTTTTCTATTACAGTTCCAGAAAAAGCCTAGAAGACAAAAATTAGGTTTATTATAATAAAATGTAAGTAAGATGCCCCAAAAAGCTTTATCTTCTATTTACCAATTAGATATTTCTTTTCTCTAAAATTTACAAGGTTTTTAAATATATATAATACATTAACATCAAACTATTAATTGTTCATAGAAACTAAGTACCATAAAATTTTTTTTTCTTAATTATACCACCAAATATAAGCAATGTTTATAGTAGTCATAGGAGAAAATACTATACTGTGCAAAATGCCTACCTTATCCTGAGAAAAACAAAAATGATAAATAAAAGACGCCCAAATATTTATACATCCCATTATGCCCAGCTCTTGCTGTGAAAATAATACAGTAAGATTCTGAAAGGCATTGGTTTGTCAGCAAATGAAGAGCTGTGGTGTGCTGGTCATGCTGCCTGTTAGCCAACAGTTTGGTTTCACCAGTACTGACATTTTTTCAGTGGTGTTCCTTCTGTAATTGTTTGAATATTTTATTGCATCTTGCCTCAATTTTATTTAAGTGTTCAGTGGAAACTAAAAAATGAAAGTGCTGAGACTAGTATGAATAAGCATAGGTTTCTAAATTTTAATACAAATAATTCAACGATAGGTATCAGAAGTTCCACAAAAAGTGACTCTAATTTTAACTGGGTGTTTGCTGAAGGTAATCTGGTCAGCTGTATGTTTAAAATGGAACAAATTAGTATGTATATATAGCTAGAAATCTTTATATATCTTTTCATATAAAAACCAAGGAGTTAATTTCTTTAATGATTTTGGGTATATGAAACCTTCCCCCTTACATCTTCTAAGAACTTATGTACAAGCTAAAATGACATAAACTTTCATACATTTTTTACTTTCCTTTATCTACCAAGTGTTCAAAGCTAGTTAAGACAATTTTATCACTTAAAATAATTGTAAAAGCCAACATCTTCACCTCACCCCACCAATGAAACAAAAACAAAGAATGCTATCTTCCTCCCTCCTTCAAGATTCTGGACTCCAGCTCCTAAACAAAGCTCCAAGTTTACTTTTCTAAAAAATTCCATTTAATCATTCTGAGAAGAGAGGCTTCACATTATCTTAAGAACACTTTTGAAAGACACAGAAGTTTAGCATTTTAAAAGACACTGAAAAATGATGTCTTTCAAAATACTTGCCATAATCATGAACTACTTATTTTAAGTAAAAATTGTAGCATCTCTAATAGCAGTTAAATATAAAATGCAAAGCTAATAAAGGTGAAAATAGTAAGTTTTTCCAGGTACGGTGATGCATGACTGTAATTTCAGCACTCAAAAGGCTGAGGCAGGAGGATTGCCATGAGTTCAAGGCCAGCCTGGGCTACATAGTGAGTTTAAGGCCAGCTTGAACTGCATAGCAATACCCTTTCTCCAAAAAGAAGAAAAGAAAATGGTAAGTTCTGTATTCTAGCTACCCTATGACATGTTAAATCCATATAAAAACTCAATTTTCAAATACTTACTGGCAAAAGTCTACATCTATTCCATGTTTTCTAACACTAAGACAGAGTACTAAATAAGGTAAGACTTTCCAGGTCATCTAAGATCATTATCCTGGGAATGGGAGCATTTTAATCTTATGTAGGGTCCCTGAGTGCTAATAATGTCTATCCCCAATCACCATTCAGTGCATTTAGTACAATTAGTATTATCTAATACAAGTGATGACAATTTTTTATATTTACATATAAATATATTTTAATATGCATTGATTATATATACAAGTGTGTATATTGGTTTGATACACATGAATTTTCCAGTCTTCCTAAACACTTTTTAAATTGAAAACTTCTAATATCCACCAAAACACAAGAATAAAAATATCAAGTGGAAACCATAACCATGCATTTCTTAGACAGGAATTCTTATTTTGGGTTCTCTCAAACTTTCCTCCACCTCCACAAAACTATATGCAATGTAGTCTAAACAAGCCTATGAATACGTGCTAATTTTTCTGAAGAGTGCCTACAGCTTGTCAGATTGGAAAATTATTTCATAACCTCAAGTTTCACTGGAACAAGCCAAAACACAGAAGGACTCTGGATAAAGATCTACCTTGTAGAAGGGGTGATTAAAACACACAGTGTTTACATTTTTTAAAAGTTTATTACAGCTGGGGATTTAGGTCAGTGGGGCACCACAACTGCCTTGAAAGCGCAAGGTCCTGAGTTCAATCCCTGGTACAAAAAAAAAAGGTTTATTACAGAAAAAGACATGTTGCTATGAATCCCCCTCACTTTGAAGAACACATTTATCCCACAGTTCTTGCAACTTTCTGAAGCAGTTCTGAAAGTCCCTTTTCATGAGAATCTTTATAAGATATAGTCAAAAATACAGGGAATGTTGCTGCCAAGTACTATCAAAGAGAAAGCAGGCTAGTAAAAAACATTATGGTGTGTCCTCATCCACTTTTTTTACCGGATCTGACACTGTGGAACTTCTGGGTCTTTCCAGAAATGACAATGACCATGAAAGGTACAAATTTTTTAATCAATTCAGGATATCAGGGCAGCTCTGACAGCAAAACTAAAGACATTCACAAAAGAGGACTTTCAAAACTGCTTCACAAAGTGGCAAAAATGGGAGATGAATGTGTTCAAAATGATGGGGATTAATGCCAAAGTATTTCTTACTAGATAGCAAATTTTAACATTCACTGTACTTTTTGATCACATCTCCCCACAAATACATGTACACACACAGATTTCCTTTAACTCCACCAAGTCATTTAAAAGAGAACAGTATAATCTACTAAACTGCAGTATCAGAAAATGACTATAGTCTGGTCCACTGTTAATTTATTTAATACAAACTGCTGAATGTTTTCTATCTAAAAAATGTGCATGTCAGTTAAGATATTTCCAAATTTCCATTTCAGAGATGAAACTTCAAGATAGTAATATTGTGTTCCTAGTGACTTTTTTTTTTTAACAAATTATTATCAAAAAAGTACAAAATTATGATTAATTAGATCCTATGACATTCCAGGTTAAATAGTGAAACCTGGCCAAAGACATTAAACAATTAAGATCCCTACACACCTCAGGTGCTCCCGATGAGGGCAACGGTTTCTTTTGATGATTTTCTTCTTGTGGTTCCTCTTCCAAAATGCTCTCACTGGTATCACTACAAACACTGTTCTCTCTGCTTCGAGACTTGAGAATTGATTTACGAGGGACATATTCTCCATTCACAACATCAACAAAAACTCTGTAATATTCAAAAAATATATGCTCACTTAAAAAAGTAACTCATAAAACTGAGAATAAAGATTTCTTTAAATCTTTTCTAGAAACTGATCTGAAATTGTTAAAATTTTGTATCTAAAATTTTCATTCCCAATACTTTTGCAGCCTCAAATGACATATTTTATATTTTGAAAGACATGATTTTTTTGCCAATAAAATATAGCATGTTACTTATAAGCATGTTCTTAGAGGTAATGAATTGATTTGCAAAATTCTATACCCAGTTTTATATCCACTTATAAAACATTTAGCAATTTTCACTGTTTTACAAATATGGGTCATGATACAGTAAATATTTTCAAATGATAACTTTCTTAACAAATACAACAAAAAACTGAAATAGTGTAATTAATTTCTACTCTGAAGAGATAAATTAATGTCAAGCATAATTTAGCTATGATAGGAAAGTACTGCCCTAGTCATAGAAATGTAAACTGATTTCTAAAGATGTACAGTGTTTTTACTAGACCCAAGGGGAATGCTGCAAAGCACTGGTGAGGAGAGGAAAGGGAAAAAACTGTTCAATATCCCAACTGCTTTGGGTAGCTGTGGAGTGCCATCTTTCAAATACTAGGTTAATTCCTTCAGGTCACCTCCCTTTCTTCAAGAAGCAGCTTTGGGGTTATAGACAATGCTTCAAGTAAATATTCAGATGGAAAAAGAGAGAAAGGATCAGTAAACTGTCATGCAGTCAATGCTATCATTCACCTGTAAATGTCAGCAGGAGTTCTGATTGTAGGCAGCTCGTGGGCAGAATGACCACTGCCAGAGCTGTTCTTTCGTTTACGTTTGGCTTCTTCTTTCTTTTCACTGAATTTTAAAGTAGTATTTTTCCCCGTATTTATTCGAACCTAAAAATTTCACAGCAAACATATTAAAAACTGAGATATTTAATCAAGGCCTAAACTAAAACAAATTCTATCATTAAAAATAGTAAGAGTAATAGTAAAAATACACAGTTGAAGTACTTTGATGAAAACTAATGTGCATTGTCAGACTGAGTAAAAAAGTCCTCACCTTATATTTCTACAACATTAAATTAACTCTTCTTAAATCATCAATTCTAGTTTTCAGTGTCTTTATTATTGTATAGAAAGAGAAATACATTTAAACTGAATGCTAGGTTTATTATAATCTTCACCTCACTCCATTACTTTGATATAAATATTTAGCTTAAATCATGCATTTCAAAACAAAGAGCAAAATTAACCAAAAGAAATATTGATGGTCTCTAACATTTCAGTCATAAAAGCAATATTAAGTAATGCATAACTATTTCAAATCTTTTAAACACTTCTAATTTTAGAAACTGAAGGACTAAAAACCAGTCCCATTCAGGATTAATGATACTCTTCTATTCCTGTTCAGCATTTATACCACACTTTCTATAGTAATGACTGCTCTTTCTCACAACATTCCTGCAAATATTATTCTTCCTGTTTCATCTAAGTGAAAAAATGAAAAGCCTGGAAAAATAATCACAATACAATTTTTTGTTTTGTTTTGTCTGAGACATAGTTTTTAACCCATTTTTGCTGAATATTAAAATTTTTTGAGTTTTTGCATGAAATTCATATATAGTACCTAAAAAATTCAAGGAACAAGAATTTGATGAGTAAACATTTCATTATGTTCCACTTTTATGAATGTTTCAAAAATGGATCACTAGGCACTGAAGGGTTAACTAGGCATCCAGGCTGGCCTCAAACCTGTGATCCTCTTGCCTTAACTCCCAAGTACTAGGATTATGGTCACACACTACCATGCACAGCTTAATAGAAAATATATTTTATAGTGTTAATTTTATAACATCAAGTAAACTTTTCCCAAAGAATTATAAAGATTCCTCTAATTCAACATATTAAACAATTTTTAAAATATATAATTATTTCACTTCACATTAGAGCAAGGATAACTTTAAGAATCTAAGAAATATTCAGGCTGGGAATTTAGCTCAGTGGCACTGTGCCTGCCTCGCAAGCACAAGGTCCTGAGTTCAATCCGCAGTACCAAAAAAAAAAGAGAAATATTCGGTATTTTTGAGTATTTTTCATTAAATAATCATTACAGGCACTTAAGACTCATACCATAGTCCTTATCTCTGATACAGTACAGGCAATCAGGGTACCTACCATGTGTAGAAAGAACACAAAATGGACTGAAAAGACTTGTTTTATTACTAACCAGCTCTATGTCTTCTATGCCTTAAGTTCCCCTGAGAAAGGTGAATTCATGGTGACACCTTAGAGCACCATATAAAGCAGAGAGGACAGGGGTAGCCTTAAGGTAGTCTATTATTTCCTTCAACCAGAGCTAGCCTGCTGAAGAAGCACTGACTAAAAAGTTTGAAAAGCCTGGATGAGAAGATCTCCATAGTCACCCCCAGCTCTAAACTGCCAAAATTCTAAACTCCTGATTACACAGATGTTTATATTTACTTTGTCAGAAAAGGGACTGATTTTTACTTTCTCCTAATTTTTTCCCTTTTGTTCATGATGCTCCTATTCATTTAATACCCATGTAGAAAATAACCCTGACACAATTGAAAATTTAACCAATGTAGTCACTTTCAACATTCTCAGCACACCAAAATGTACACAATAAAATCAGCTCTTGAGATTCTGGAGAAAATCCTCTGGAATAAGCACAGGTAGAGCTATGGTTACAACTTAAATATTTATCTTTTTTTCTTTTTGTACCAGAGATCAAACTCGGGTCCTTGCACTTGCACAGCAGGCGGCAAAACCACTGAGCTAAATCCCCAGCCCTTTGACTTAAATATGACCCCCTTCTGAACCCTAGCAACTCAAATTTTATTGTAGCTTGTGATGACAATGAACCAATACTAGATAACTAACTAGGTTTTTTTCTTCCTTTTTCTGTTAAGATAAATCATCAGAATAAGAGGGAAAGGATGATTTTCAAACTACTTGGCAGTATCAATGATTTTAATAACACAAATGATATTTAATATAAAAAATTATACCCAAAATTAGTAAAAAGTATACAAACCCTCTTAGGTTCAACAGTATGAGAAAAGTATATTGTTGGTACAGAATGATCTCCAACCCCTGAAGCATCATGGTCATTTTCATTATCACTACCACCATCATCATCATCTTCTTCTTCTTCTTTTTCTTCATCTTCATTACTGTGATAAGAATCTGAACCATTCACTGAACAGTTCAATTTACTATTCACTTGACCTCTGAATAGTTCTGAACTGACAACACCCTTCAGACAACTGCTGGGAATAAGGGAGTCTGTTACTTGATGCATGACATTCACGTTTGTGTTTTGATCTTCTTTCTCCTCTTCAGAAGAGGTTGTATCTTCTCCATTTGTAATGACAGTATCAGGTTTACTAGTAGAGAAAAAGAGAATAGTAAAAACATAAATACATTACAACCTTACATATTCTACTTTCCAGTTCATTTCAATAGGTAAAACATTAAAATTTTTGTACATTAATTTTTGTTTTTATCAGTACATTTGCAGTACATCACGACTACATTCATCATGGGGAGTTGGTACATGTACATAATACATCCTAAGATATTTTTTAAAAACAAGAATTCTAGATAACAAAAGAAAAAATGTTTGATGTAAACTAACAAAAAGCATTAGTTCTTATGTCACTTCTGTATACTGCAGTTAAACTTAAGTAGAATATATACAATAAATTATCCTTGGATATTGGCCAGACACAATACAAATACAGTAACTAAAACAGAATAGTTTGTAAGAAATCTGAATAATATGTACTCCTTTTAAAGATCGGAAATTAATGTCACAGAACTATAATGTTTTTATTTTCTATTTCAACCTCAGAATATTTTACAACAAGCATGTTTTGTTGTAATTTTTAAAAATAAAGAATTTATACATATGTATATACTTATATATATGAACACATATTTACCATGCTTCATTTTATAAAGGATTTGAGGGCTTACAGGAATAACAAAACCAAAAATGCAAAGAACTGAAATAACATCATGCAAAAATAGAGAATCATGACTAAGAAAATCACAAGATCCAACACTGGTTTTAAAAAATGAAACAGTACAAGTTAATCAAAAAGACCTAAATACACAGGTGAAATGGTAGGGGGAAAAAATCTTTTGTGTTTCTTGTCCTATTTTTCACAGAAACTAATTACTGCATATGGTACGTCATTTAAGCAAAATAATATAGGAACTTCCACAGTAGACTTCATTTAGCACTCTGACAATTCTAAGTGAGTGCTAATGTGTATTTCAAACAGCAGTTTGGTAAAGTTTCTCATACATAAAATTACCTGACCAGATTACAAACTGACTGTTCAATAAGAAGAAAAGTTTGAAAAGGGAAAGTAAGGACAATCATTTTACAGTATGAAATTTAAATTCAAAGCAAATGTTTTCTTTTTAAAAAGTCATTCAAATAGCATTATCCTGACTGTAGTATTAAAATATTTCATTTAGATTTTAATATTAATGCATTCATAATTATTAAAAGTCGACTATGTGGTATAATTACTTCATAATATAAAATATAGCTTTTTTTAATAATAAAAAATAAAAATGATTTAAAGTGTGTGGATACACATGCATTGGGATGTACACAAGCTCATGGTCCTAAAAGAAAATATGACAGAATTAATATTTATCTTGGGGTGGAAGAATTATTGATAATTTAATATTACACTTTTCTGTATTTTCAATGAGCACATACCATTTTATTAATGGGGGAATATGTACAGAAACAAATTTTTTTGTAAAAAGAATTTGTCATTAGATACCTGTCAAGTTCACCCAGTAATTCTTCTTGTCTCTCTAGTTCTTCAAGTCTAGTCCACAGTTCCTTATCAGGAAGAAAATCCTTGGATTTTACATCATTGGCAAAATCTGCTTCAAAAATATCTGAAGTTTTTGGTTTAGAATGAGGTTTATGAGCAATTCGTTGTTTTCCTATTAAGAAAAAGACAAGATATGACTGTTTATAGTCAATATTAAACAGGCACAAACCCAGACATAAGTGAGATGTTCTTCTGGGGTAAGTGGGATGTTGAAACACAAGGGGACATGATTTTTAAAGCAAAAGGAGAACCCCAAGGATCCATGTCACTCAGAGACTTGGCTACTGAAAATGTGCTCTACGACTAGCAGTACTAGCATCCCTGGGGAATAACAGTTCAGCAGTGCAGACTCTCAGGGCCTCCCAAACCTGCTGAATCAGAATCTGTATTTTAGCAAAAGCCTGGAGAATTCTCACATACATTAAAGATTATAAACAACTGCTCTAAAGTTTCAAAAATGGATAAGCAGAAGTGGTCACAATGTATTCTGGTTATAAAGCAAAATTCAAATATCCATTTACCACCTTAACTCAATAGAATTTAGTTAACTAAAGTAACATGCAAAAGCCTTGTCACAGGATACTTTAAAGTCTAGGACACCACCAACAATGTATATCCCAGGAGGAAATGACAAAGGCTAATCTCTGCAAAGTTTTATTACAATTTTATATATGAATCATCTCTGCTTTTAAAATTGCTTTATTTTATTTAGAATTCTCATGTGAGGGCAGAAGATAGATCAAATTTGAATTAAAACCTATCTGGTTTTCATCTAAAACAATAGATTTTAATAAAGCAAATTAAAGCTTTGAAGAAAATAATGGGATAAAATCTAAAATACTATCTGTTATGAGATATGGTACTACGAGATGATTTCAAGTCCATCATACATTCAATTTCATAGCACTGCTTTCCAAATGTGAAAATATCAAAATTGTTTCCTATTCTGTGTTATTGATAAAACAGTAATAACAATTTTTATATGTTTCAGATTTTGAACACACATAATTTCTCACTGGTCAAAAACCTAAACAAAAATTTAACTTGTCTTTCGGCTCTTTACTAAGTATTTCCTTTCTATTACTTTCTAAAGCCACTGCCACTTCCTGTTACTTGTAATGCCACTTCAACACAGATATTATGGCTTCTAAAAGCAGAAAGTTCTCCTTAGAACTAATTACCAAATTATGAACTTTAAAAATCAAAACAAATAGTAAAACATTTTCCATAATAGCAAATTATAAATAATTTCTGTGATATTTTTTAAATTTCACTACTTTAACATTCCCAACTGATGAAAGGATCCACTGTCTTTATAGAAATAAACCCGAATGTATAACTCGTCCATGGCAAAAGAAAGCTTTTGGATGAGGCTGGGTACAACCTGTGTGTGCAAAGCCAGTGTAGACATCATAAAAGGAATGGCTAAAATATGCTGATATTAGTTCTTTCTTCCAAAAACAGCTCATAAAGGTGCAGTTTTAAAAGGAAAAATACAAAAGCTGGCAAACAATATTTTATGACTTGGCCAATAACAAAGATCAAATTAGGAGTAAATCCATGTCTAAAATAAACTTTTGAGTTTCAGAGTTTTAGATCACTACAGAACTTTGAAAAATAAACAATAAAGCCACCAGGTATGGTGGCACATGCCTGTAATCCCACCTACACAGGAGGTTGAGGCAGATCATGAGTTGGAGGCAAGCCTAAACAACTCAGTGAGACCTGGTCTCAAAAAGAAAAAAAAAAATTGATAGATAAATGGAACAAATGCTTGCATCTTATGAACTGAGAAGCATCATACTATAAGTTCCAGCTATGTTATAAAAGACCTCTTAAGAATCAACACAACAGGGCTGGGGATGCAGCTCGGTGGTTCTGCCGCCTGCCTCGTAAGCGCAAGGTCCTGAGTTCAATCCCCAGTACCAAAAAAAAAAAAATCAACACAACAAATACCTAAATAATTTTACATAATAATCTCATTGCTTACCTTTAAATTCGAAGTCACTTTTAATTTCTTCCCTTATGTCAACAATATCACCTGCAGCCTAATTTTTTAACAAACAAGAAAAACACCATATTAACAATACAAATTCCCAATATATTAAAATTACCATAAAAGCAAGCATACAACTAAGAGACATGTCTGAAAGCATTTGAAATATCAAGTGATTTGTTCCTGGGATATAAGATATTTTTAATATAAAAACATTTTGTTTTCTAAAAAACATAAAAGACTGAAAAACAAATACCCACATCACTCATTTTCTGCAAATCTTCTGTGAATTCAACTCTGGATTCAAAATTTTTCATCACTTTTTTTAAATCATCTATTGTTTTTCTTATAT